CTTGATCCTGGAGTGAAGTCGATATCCATGCTCTTACTTATGCATGCGTTGAGATTTTTTGATTACGAGAGCAAACTCTTTTATTAAAATCGTTACTAATTTCATTTTCATAGTCATGATCATATTCGCGATAATATTTTTACCAAAAAAAATGGTCATGATCATAAACCTGATATTTAAATGCCAGATTCCTCTTACGTTTTTCATTATCCTATCCAGGGCTGTTAATGAACCAAGCCGCTCATGAACAGCTCGCTGTGCGACTCGAGAAAAACTTGTTCGAAACTCGATTTGTTTTAATCGAGCCAGTTCGCGAACAAGCTCGTTAACTAAACGAGCCGAACTCGAGCCATACCATGTTTAGCTCGAAAGCTCACGAACAAGCTCATTTAATGGTTTGGCATAAAAAAAGAATTAGAAATCATGGATTTTATGTATTTAAATAGGATAAATTTTGTGTTTTACTTTGCTACAGGTTTGAATGTAATTTTGTGCGCGGTTCTAGGTCAATCTTGAGCTATCATGAACATTTTATGAGCTGACTCAATTTTGGGCTTGTTAAGCATATTTGATGAGTCGAGCTCGAGATCGAGCTTTCATTTTCATAAACGAGCCAAGCTCGAGCTTGCATATTAAAGCTCGTGACGAACACGAGCCAAGCTCGAACCTGAAAATATATTAACGAGCCGAGCCCGAACTATGGCAAAGTTCGGCTCGACTCGGCTCATTAACAACCCTAATCCTATCATACTTGTTTAATAATATACTCATGACTCAATAAAAAACCAACTAATTCATTCACGGATAGAGTCCTGAGATCTTTTGCCTCTTCTATGGCTATACACTTAGGTAGCCACTCTTTGGGAAGAGATGTCAAGATTTTCCTAACAAAATCCTGATAGAAACAAAGTTTCCATGCGGTTTGGGATAGAGAGCTTAAGATTTAGGAGATATACTTCGCTTAATGCTTTTTTATTTATTATAATGTGAACTCAAAGTACATATTTATATAGGTAATAATGGAAAACTCTAATAATAAACCTAATTTTACTAAATGACTACTAGCCTTGTTGATAATTATCCTAATAATAATTATAATAATAAACATAGAAATCCAAAAGAAATCGTTTCTTAAAAATCCTAAGATTGAAAAGTTCTAACTAAACCTTTAAGATGATTAACCAGAACGGTAAATCAAGAATGCATTTCATGAATATTCTCACATGGAAGCATAACAAATGCTTAATACTCATGCGTAAGAAGATATGTTATTGTTTCTTTGATATTTGAAGGCCTTTGGCATGTGTACAAAGAATAATTTCATTAGATTGGGTAGAGTGTTTTTGCTAGATGTGACATGTAACACTTTAGGAGAATCCTACATCAATAAAGTACGGGGAAAGATATATGGTTGATAAGTAAGAAACTTATCTTAATCGATAAGATGCATTTTGGGGTGAAATGGAGTAGTTCTTATGAGAACTATGAAATTAAACGTGCTCAGCGTAGAGCATTACAAGAATGGGTGATCTTATGATAAGTCAACTTGATATGCACCCAGATAAACCTGTGAGGGTCTAGAACCATAGCGTACAATATCTTAGCCGAAAACATTTCGGAATGTGATGTAGAATGTCAGGATAAAGTAGGGTTTTTTCGCATAATTTGATTTTGGGGTTGAGTATTTGACCTTCCGGTCAATTATCGTTACTCTTCTGCTCATTCATTTTTTCTATTGGGGCATCATTTTTTTGTTAATACGTGTATCTTTTCATTGAAAAAATGCATGTATCATTTCATTACAAAAAATGCAACAATTTAGATCAATCTCACAGTGATAATGAACGGGAGAGATCTATGATTCATAAGAAACAATCTAATCTTAACCATGTGAAATGAACAAGTTTTTGTAAGAACTATAAAGTTAAACATCCTCAATGTGGAGTAGTGCAATGGTTACCTCTCAAGAAGTCATCATGATGCATCATGATCGACAAAACACGAGAGTGATCCACGGTTGATAAGGAACAATCCGTCTTAAACTGACAAGAAGCATTTTAATAAATTGATGAGTTCTTATAAGAACTCTAAAGTTAAACGTCCTTTTATAAAAAAAGAAATCTAAAGTGAAACGTCCTTAGTGTGTGTATCAGTGGAAAGATGGGTAACCTCTCACAAAATCAAGATGATGCAACCCACAAACAAAACCATGCGGGTATAGACTCAAAATGGATAATATCTTGCTTAGAAATGAATGGTGTATTACAATCAATAACTCACTCTATCAAACCCCATGATTCTTTTTTCCAACTTTTATAAGTGTAAGGAGTGAAAGCCATATTTTTGAAATAGAATGATTACATGAGCTAAAGTCATTAGGGTTGCTAATCAGTTCAGTTTCAGCTAACCACTAAGGAAAAAATATATACTGAAAATCAAATCGATAAGGGTTATTGGTTTGGTTAGATGTTAATTAGGTAGTCAGGCACTAGCAAATAAAAAACTCCATACATGTTGCATTTTTATCTTGTTATTTTGAAATTTTGTATTGTGTCCTTTTTAATGATAACATATAAATATACAAATAATTCAAAACAATATAAATACACTTCTATATTGTTAGCATAAAATAATAATCAGAAATAACATCAATACAATACAAGATCCATAATGAATTCATAATTCAAATCCAAATTTAATTACATAAAAATAAAAATTATATAACGTCTTGATATATTTAGCGAAAACCAACTAGCAGGACATCAAACAAAAGTACCACAAGATCATCATTCACAAATAGCAAAGAAACAAAACTACTAGCTAGGGTGTGATATTCGTTATGTAGACTGCAAATGGGAGCAGAGAGGGTGATTTTCGGGTTCTAACTCTTAAACACATTGTGTGGTTATATCTGTAGGATGTTATCAATTTTCTTATCGGTTAACCACTAAGAAAAATACAGCTAACCAAAATAGAAACGCTAAAAATTATTTGTTATCGGTTAACCACTAACCATTCATAATCAGTTTGGTTATCGATAAAAACAGATAACTGAATAACATTTTACTATCCCTGAAAGTGACACATGAAATTTTGGCTGAGTGTAGGGAGCGGATATAGTGCATAACATTGTTATGCACAACATTACACTTAATATTAATGGAATGTCTCTAACTTTTCATCCATTTCATTTTAACGAGTTATTTCTCTTTTGTTTTAAATCATAATATAAATTTTTTGTACAAAAAAATCATATTAATTGTATTTTTTAAAATGACATCTACTTTGATATATTTTGGAACAAATTTTTTTAGATATTTATTACAAGTTCGTACCATGTGGTAACGCTTGGTAGTATATAAGATTATACCACGTTGTATGGAAGTGTAGAATGATTATATACATGATATTAGGAATATACTAGTGGTGAGACCCCACTTTTCATTACCGTCTACCACCAGTTGTCACCATATACCAGGATGGTATATGGTGGTATATTTGATCCTGAAAAAATTTTCTTGAAATTTATAGATCCAATAGATCACGATGAGTTCGTTCCGTCTCGAAAATATTTTTTTGAAATTTGAATTAACAACGAAGGTGATAACAAGTGGTATGAGTGGTACGTAATTTTCTCTCAAAATATATTGAAAATATATATAACTTTGTATATCACAACGTAAAATCAAATCCAAGTTAATGCAAAAAAGATAAAAGCCAATTATAAAAATAATGAAATTAAAAGATATTATAATCTCACCTATTATATTTGGCCACATTTGAAAATAAGAACCCAAATTTAGTTATGTACGGATTATGCATCCTGTAGTTATTTACCCTATGTTAAACTCTCATTGTATATAGTTTAAGATTGTACTAGACTAGTAGACTTCTCTTATTTCTAAAATCACATATTATTGGGCTTGAGAGTTATAACTTATAATGGATTTTGACTTTTGATCTATTAAGCCAAACTAGTAAGTTTTGGGGGTTTTATGCTTTTAGTTTCCCCAAGTAAAGAAATTAAAAAAGCAAGCCAGGTGTCAAATACTCAAATTACATAATGAATATTATGGTTTAGGTGGAAGAAATCAATTTGATTGATTTTGTTCTTTTGGTGGAAAGATCTGATTGATTTGGTTGTTAAGTTGGATGCCCTTCATCTTCTAGATCATGATAAGACAAACTATATTTATATATTGGTTTGAGTCCACCATTGATAGCTCAATTTCCTAACTAATTTTCTCATATTACTGACCAACCACGGATTCATGCAAATTTCGTGCTATATGACTCATAACATAATTTTTTCTTTTTTTTTTTTTTTTTTTTGGTAGAAAAAGGGACGCTAGAGGGCGCCCCACCAGAAACTTAAATTAGCCGATCTTGGGTGATACCCATAGTGTCGTACAAAGTCCAAAAATTGAGACCCGGATCCGAAATATCAAAAACATGAGCGCCTAAGCTAAAGCCATGGGCCTTATGGGCCTTATTTTCTAAAATAATACAACACAACATATTAATTGATATATAAGAAACTCGGTAGGTAACTGAAATCCAACATTTACTCATATAAAATAGAAACTTATATAGTTCATCATATTCCATATGCACTATGTTTTATATTTGGAATGTGTATTTGTGGTGTTTCATTTTATTTCTAAAATACGCCGATTTTGATGTCAAATGAAAATCTACGAATTATTAATCTAGAAAATTACTTTCGTAACGTCACTGCAATTATTTACCAGGAAGATGTAACCTCCCCCTACAGTCACATCTGCCAATAAACTTATTGTTTTCGGCTTTCAAGTTTATAATTATATAATAATACAGAATTGAAAATAATTTTTATTTTTTTATAATGAAAATAATTAAAGTTAAATAAAGGGTCGATTTTTTTTTTTTTTTAATTTGGACAACAATGGATCAGAAACGTAGGCAGCTACGTTTCATAACAGCAAGTCAGCAATTCGACATCTCCTAATTAATCCCCTCATCAATATTTAACACAAATCTCTCAGAGTCAGAGCAGCAACGCTCTGAATTGAATTCCAGCCCCCAACCCCCAAAATTTCGATGAAACTCCTCCACGATTTCGGGTCCTGCTGCTCCCGGTCCGCGACGGCGGTCGCAGCGCCGCCACCGGCGGAGGAAAAGCGCTCGGCTGCCGTCGTTCCCCTGTTAGAACACTATTATCGCGATGGAAACGGCGGGAGCTCCTGCAACAAGCTGTCGATCACGAGAAGCGCGTCTTCATCGTGGGCGGCGCACAGCTGGCGGCCTGCTCTGTCGGCGATATCGGAAGAGAGTCCCGTAGTGTCGTTCGCCGGCGACGCAACGAGAATCGTGAGAAAGGGCGCGGCGGATAGGGGAACGAAACCGTTACAGAAGAAAACGGCGTCGGATAGAAGAGGAAAATCCAATTCCCCGGCGAAGCCCAAGAGCAGCAGTTACTGTCATCTTCAGAGGTAATTAAGTTAGTAAAATAAATTCATATGAAAAAAACAGTAGTAAAATAAATTTGGTCTTAGACGGCATGTCGTTTCTCTGTGTCGTTATTGAGAAATTGGGGGATTTTGTTGTTGCAGGGACAACTCTGCTTCTTCTTCTTCGTCGCCGATGGTGATGGCGTCGTTCTCACCGGCGCCATTTATGTTCTGATTGATTGATCTCTGATCTTACCAGTGAGAGAATTAATTGTATATGATCGTTGTATTGAGATGGAACAGAAGAATACATATAAATTGTTGCGTAGAGAATTGGGTTTTTGTTGAATTCCAGTAATACCAACCCAAATGCAATGAGCCAATGAGCAGGTTTAATATATAGATGGGAGATGGGATGAGTTTCCATGGATGCGATTGGAAAGTTGTTGTCACTTGTTTGTTAATCGATTGAGGTACAAGCTAAATTTAAGTTTGGAACACTAAATACCTAATTGTTTTTTACAATAAGTTGAATTTCATTCATGATCAATTGAGGTACAAGCTAAGCCTATTACAGAAAGGATGGAGGAAGCCTATAGGAGATATATATAAGTAATTTTTTTTTTTTGACAAAAGATATTCAATAAGTAATTGATACAACTTAACTGTGATTTTTCTTAAGGTGTTGCTGACTATATATCTTTAAATCCTCAAAAACCTTTAGTTATTTTCCAATAACTACAAATCGATGCATTTCGAATATTCTTATTGTATGATCTTCAATTCATTATCAGCAAGTTAGTATGGCTGTTGCATATCTGTAAGTACTGAATGATAATTGTTGAGAACTTTCTGTTTTATGTAAGAATATATGTTGAGCTATTGTACTTTTCCCAACATATGAATGTGTCTTTGTCTTTGCTATCTCTTTCTTTATTAACAATAGACTCAACCGTGCTTTTCATACAACTGAAAACTTACTTTTATTCCATATACATAAATATGTATCAATGGAGGGTTAAAAGGGGACTTTCCAGCTCAGAAAGGGTTGAGACAAGGGGATCCCTTGTCCCTATATCTATTTGTTATCTCTATGGAAATTCTTAGTTGTATGTTAACTCGAGCTGCTGAAATGAAGGTTTTGCCATTTCATCCTCTTTGTCAAAGGATAGGGTTGTCACATCTGTGTTTTACAGATGATCTACTAATTTTCACTAAGGGATCAATGGAGGGGGTTCAAGGGGGTTGCTGAAGTATTGAAGCAATTCTACCTGATCTCGGGTCTTAAGTGTAATTCGCGGAAAAGTGAGCTCTTCTGTGCGGGAGTAGAGGATAATTTAAAAGCTAAGCTCATAAGGCATTCAGGGTTTAAGGAAGGCCAACTCCCTGTCAGATATCTAGGTGTTCCCTGGATTGCAGTCAAGCTTAAAGCTAGTGACTGCAAAGCATTAGTTGAAAGTATCATGAAGAGAACTACAGTTTGGCAAGCCCTTACTCTATCCTATGCAGGTAAACTACAACTAGTGGCCTCTGTCCTCACTAGTGGAGCTCAGTTCTGATGATGGTATTTCAGTTGCCCAAGAAAGTCATTAGGGAAATTGAGAAGCAATGTTGTGCATTCCTATGGGGACTAGAGAAGAGTAAAGTAAACGTTACTTGGAAGAAAGTAGCTTTGCCAAAGAAGGAGGGAGGACTGGGATTTAAGGATATGCATAGCTGGAACATAGCATGCCTAGTTAGACATCTCTGGAATGTCCTGTCAGATCAAGAAACTATGTGGACAGCCTGGTTAACAGAATATAGGCTCAGGAATGTTAGTATTTGGGAGACTTGTACTCTAGGGGCATGGCTGTGAAACGGTGTTGAAGTTGAGGATTCAAGTACAAGAATGTCTGGTTAAAACAAGGGCTTGAGTGACCTGGGATGGAAGTCTGATGCCTAAATATTGCATCCAACGTGTGTGGGAAAGATTTAGACCTAAGTAGGGGGTAAAAGAATGGGCTCCTCTAATGTGGAAGCAAGTACAAATACCAAGAAACTCTTTGATTGCTTGGCTAGCCATCCTCGATAGGATTTCAACGTTTGACAAGATCAAGAAATGGCAGCCAACAATTATAAATCAATGCCCTTTATGCATGAGGAATCCAGGGACCATATTTATTTTGGTTGTCCTTTTATGGAGGAGGTGCTTCTGGTAATATTCCCTAACAATTAGGTATCGTCCTCAGGTAGGGTGGGAAGATGGTCTGCAGGAGGCAGTGATTAAGTTGCATAAGTGTTGTGTAGGGAGGTTGCTATGAAACTTGATGATAAGTGAGATATGACAGGAGAGAGGTCCTAGAGTGTATGGAAAGAGCAGCATGTCTGCTAAAGCTTTAATAGAATGAGGGATATATTGGAGAGTATGATGGCGTGTAATCAGCAATTGAGTTTTGAAGCAATGAAACCGAGATTATTTTATAATATATTCCAATTTGTAACTGTTATAGGATAGTATTATACAAATCTTCGTACTGTGTGGTCTAATGATAAAGAGCTTGTGGTCTAATGAGAAAAGCATGTTAAGAAAATACAACATTTGATTAAACTGTTGCGTAAAAACTAACTTTAAATTTTTTTAATGTAATGCAAATATACATCACTTTCATCTCCTTTTCCATTAGTAGGTTCATACATTATAGAACTATTTTATGAATTTCATATATTATTGAACTAATTACCCAAACATTTCTTTTCATCCTTGTAATTTTAAGGATGTGAAGACATCCTTTCATAGTTGAGGCATACACAAGGGGTTGACATTTGGGTATCATATACCACATCCTCACGGCTGTCAACTATATATTGACTATTTGGTATGTGTTTACATATAACACAAACTTATCTTGTATCTCATTGGAAGATGTCCATGGTCGTGAAGCTAGTGGCCCATGGCCGCAAGGTGAGATAGTTGTGACTATGTCGCAAGAGGACAACGACCGTATAGCGAGACAATCACAGGTAAAAAATTAAAATGGCATAACATGAGAGGGAAGAAATCTGCATTCCAAGACATTGGCTCCAAGAGAGAGACAACTAGGCCATTGAGGGAGCAACTGCCACTCATTTCATGTTTACAAACACATCAGCCACGTCTGAAGAAGAGGGGAGTGATTCTTTTGTAACATTTTTAAAGTAGATGGTTCTCTAAGGCGGTTTCCACCCGTTGACTACAAATAATACGGGAGGTCTACAGAGATAAGGGTTCCCAAAATCACATGTCTGATCCCTATGTTAATATTTTCTCTGCAAAGTAGTCATAGTTTAGCGCTTTCACTGAATCTCCATAGGAGTAGGAGTGACGTAATTGTGTCATGTTCCCAGAAAACCATCATAAATCAAACACTCTCGTTTAAAGTGTGTTCAAAGATGCATAAATCATGTCTTAGTAATCATTTTTAAACTACTGATTATGAACAACACATACTTTTTAGGTATAACAGCATTTTGTACTCTCAAATGATATCAAAAGGACTTGTAGTTATATTGAAATTCCATTTTCTCTATGATTAGTAGCCGCTTTAGAAAGGTTAGAAGTAGTCAAATCCCACAATTTACGATCAATTCATTCAATATTTCTTCTTTAGAGAACAAATTTCCACATTAAATTATTTGTCAACTAGTTCAAGAAGTCAAGGGGCATCTAAGTCAAATTCACGTAAGTTTTCCCATTGAAATACTTATTGAAACACCTATTGAGACTTTGTGTTTAATTTGATGGCTCCACAACTTACACAACAAGGAGACGATTTCTTACAAGTCTTGTGGAGGAGGATCATTTGACTACCTTCTCAAAGTTTCAAATATGTCTAACTTCTCATTCTTTTCTAAATGAATGCAAGTACAACACCTCATTTATCTATGTGATAAATTTAGTACTGATTGTTATCTTTGTGATTGGCATCCTTGTAGACATCACGTTTGCGTGCATAGTCTACAATTGCGTACGATACATGAAAAAATGAAGAAGGATGACCCTCATCTCTGTTGTTCTAGTTTTCCTTTCGCTCTTCCTTATCATCTCCATCAGTTTTGAAGAACATTTTTTAGAGCACTTCATAAACTACTCCATCGTCGTCTTCTCGCCCTCATCACAGCTATGTCCTTCTTGATAAGTGTAGTACTCGGTCATTTTGGTAGTTTGGTATTCTTATAAAACACACATATGGAACTAGTGAACAAAAACTTGCATTGTTTATTTTTTATAATAACCTGTTACAAGTTGCTACTAGAGGGAGCATTCGGTTAAGTCGGGCTATCACTTGGCCACCCAGCTAAGAAGGGGGCGTGAGCCCTTGTTCAAATAGGATGTGAGGCCGTGGGATAAAAAACTTTGAGGGAGGATTTGGAGTGCTTCTATTCCTCATAAGTTGAGATATTTCCTTTGGCAAATAATTAGGCGCGTTCTTCCTACTGAGGAGGCCTTATCTTTTCGTGGGGTCATGGGTGTGGCTTTGTGTCCGGTTTGCTTGGGGGAGGTGGAGTCCATGGAGCATTTATTCTTCGACTGCCGCCCTGTTAGGGAGCTTTGGGACGCTTCAGGCCTTCAAACACTGCGGGCGTCCCAACGAGTAGTGTGGAAATTTATTGGCGAAGATTGTTTGATATGAAGGGGGATGCTGATTGTGCGGATGTCTTGCATACTGTTGCCTTGTTTTGGCGCATTTGGAAAGGAAGAAATTGGGTGGTTTTTGAATCTACTCTCTATTCGACCCCTGTCCTTCTGTCCCAGTTCACTGCGCAAGTTGGGGAGTGGGAGACTCTGCCTCAACGGTGTAGGCTGGGGTGCTCAAATGTGGGCGCTGGGCTTAGGGGTTGGGGGAGGGGGAGGGGTAAGGAGGATTCTCCCGGGGCTTTGCAGGTGTATACGGATGGGGCCACTTGTGCTATTTCGCATGGAGCTCGTGGTTGGGTCCTATGTGATCGCTCAGGGGGGGTGATGGCGCCGACATCAAGTCTTTATGAGGGGTTGGAGGATCCATTCCTTGTTGAATTGGTGTCGCTTAGGGATGCTATCTGGTGGTGCCTAGCTTCTGGAGTCTATGAAGTCGTTTTTGCAAGTGATGAGCATGTTGTGTTCGAGAAGGCAGCAGCTGATGAAGTGCAGGATGTGTGTGGTGGAGCTATTTTGGAGGAGATCCAAATCCTTCGTCGGTGTTTCCTGTCTTGTGGTTTTCGATTTGTTAGGCATTAGTGCAACAGGGCAGCCAATATGGTGGCGCGAAAGGCCCCTTCATTGTATCCTAGTTTAATAGGGTTTGATTTTTGTGCTTGACTCCGTGTAGCCATGCGACTCTAGTG